GACTATAAAACTTTTTATTTTTTTTATTTTAAAGAAATTGGTTTGAAAGGCCAATAAATAATTTAACAATACTTTCTGAACGTCATGAAGCAATTTCATATCTCCATCAGGATTGTAATGTGGAAGTTACTTCATTTATATATAGTTATGTTAAGGATATATTTTCTATCAAGGTTTTTATTTTAAATTTAAATTTAGTTATGTTTGTTGACATGCCCTTATTCTTGCTCATTCCATTTTTTGTCATGTTGACCTTCTTTAAATTTTCTGTTATAAAACGTTTTAACAAAAGAGAAGTAGAGTTGCAAAGTGCCTAACGGTTCGATTTTCTGCCCGTTGGTTAAACTTTTGCTTACAAGCTCTTATACTTTAGCAAGATTCTGTCCGCAACAATAAAAAATTTCCAAATCTTATTGCTTACTTATTTTTAAAAAATATTTTGCAGCCAATCTTCCGTCGTATACGTCGAGGGAATTTACCAGTTTCTGACTGGAAAAATTTATTTTCGGTTAAATTCAAATAATTTATCTAATAATTTTTTATTTTTAGAGTATTTGTGCAATGATAAAAATTGGAGAATTTTTGACTGAAAAAGAAGTTAATTTGGCTTTTTTAAAGGGTAAATTAAACCTCTTTGGGGCAAGACTTCAACAAGTTGCTTGTTTAATTTCTGAAGTGGTTAGTTTTTTTTAATATTTTATTTTAATAGTAGTCTTCTCTCTCCCATTTATTTGGTCATCCTCTCTAGTAGAGACTTGTAAATAGCTACTCGATCAGTTTTTTCGATAATTAGTAGTGTTAAATTTCCAATTAATTCCCATCTCCAATAATCTCCTCTAGAAAATACCTTCCGGTAGATGCAAAGTTTATAACAGTTGGCACAAAGAAAAAGTTTATTATTTTTAGATTGATTTTCAAGAAACACTTGCCGAAAACCGAGTTGTTATTAAACAAGGAATAGATAAGGATTTGGACAAAAGTTTAGTAAATATATTTTTGTTTTAAGAATTTTCTTTTCCAGAGAAGAAATTTTATGAAAATTTGCCAGATGAGTTAACTTCTGTAGCTAGACAGGAAACAGAGGAAATTTCGATACAAACATGCACTGTTGCTTATTTACCTATAGTTGGTTATTTATTAATGGTACCTGCATCTGTTGAAATACCTGCAAGTTCGAGTATGTTAGTTGAATTGGTAGGTAGAAAAATTAATTTTTTTTGATTTTATTGAACATTTTGGGACTGGAAAACCTTAATCTTATGAGGGCCACAAGACTTTTTGCCTTTCCTTTTCTAATTTTTCTATAAATAAATTTTAGAATAACTTTCTTTTCTAGATTTTTACTTCAGAAGGAATGTCTTATTTTAAAACTAAACGTATGCGTTTATTAGATGAAAATATTGGTGATATTAAAATGGACATTATTGATGCTGAAACTAATATTGTTTTAAAGTAAATTTTTGTTTTCTTTTAATTTTTTTATTTGGTTGTTAATGTTACCCCGTCCTATCTTTTATTAGAAACTTTCAAAAATTAAATTTTATTTTGTCAATTTTAACCTCCGAAATATAAACATTCCGTCGAATACACTGAGGGAATTTTTTAAGGATATTTAGAGCTATTTTTGAAAATTTTTTTAATTATTTCTCTGATTTTTCAGAAAATTAGTTTAATTCTTTATAGTTTACAAAAACGTTTACTTGGATCTCGTCAAATTGTGTTGGAAGCAATTGATTTGGCTGCTACTTTAGATTGTTTTGTTTCGCTGTAAAGAAGGATTTTTCTTTAAAATTTTTAAAATTTCTTTTTTAAAGTTCACAAGTTGCTCGTAAATATAATTGGATATGTCCAAAATTTGTAGAAGAACCTATTTTATCAATTAAAGAAGCTAGACATCCAATAGCTGAACATTTGTGTAAAGCAGGGACTTATGTATCTAATCCAATAATGTAATTAAATAATTATTTTTTTTTAATTAAAAAATATTTTTTAATTAATTTTAAGTAGTTCAACAGAAGACGGAAAAATAAAAATTTTATTTGGGCCTAATTCTTCTGGAAAAAGTGTTTATCTTAAAATGGTTGGTTAATTAAAAAGTTATACAGAAATTTTTAATTCGGGCAAGGTCTTCACAGTCTAACCTTAATTTTAGATATTCCCAAATTTTTTAAAATAATTAATTAGATTGGAGCAATAGTTTACCTTGCAAGTGTTGGCTCTTTTGTACCTGCATATCGTGCAACTATTGGAAAAATTAGTAGAATAATGTCAAGGCTTTATACTGTTGATTCTGTATTGGATGGAATGTCTTCTTTTGCTAATGATTTAAAACAAGTTTTTTGACAAAAATATTTAAATAATTTATTTTTTGTTTTTTAGATGTCAAGGGCTGTTGCCAGAAGTGATCAAAATTCTCTATTAATTATTGATGAATTTGGGAAAGGAACACAGACGGTAAGTGGATTAATATAAATTATTCTAAAAAAATCGGAATTTTTGGTTGACTAATTGTTCCTTTTGTTTAATTAAAATTCAAGGCATCTCTTAAATTATAATAAAATAATACTATAATAGCAATTTTCTTTATTTTAAGGAAGTTGGTCTTTCTCTACTAGCTAGCTGTTTAAATTATTGGCTTGAAGGTCCAATAGAAAAATGTCCGCATGTAGTCGTCGCCTCACATTTTTATGCACTTCCAGAACTTTTAACAGATCCAAACAAACTTTTAAAATATCAAACAATGGGTGTTAGTAGATTAGATGATGATACTTTAGATTTTCATTTTAATTTGGTTGATGGTATTACTGACTTTAGTTATGCTACTTTTACTGCTTTAAAAATGGGAATACCTAGAGAGGTTGTTGAACGGTCTGAAGAGGTAAACATAAAAATTTTATTTAAAATTTTGTCTAAAAATCTGTAAATTTTCTTCGGATTTACAGTCTGGATGGGGATTCCGTCTTCCTTTTCCTTTGTCTTGAAGGGCCCAGCACTAATATATAACTTGATAAAATTGCTCAATTCTTTTTTGTAAAAAGAATTGTGATTCTTTTAAATATATTATAATTAGAGGGCGGATTTTTATGCATTAAAAATGCAAAATATGCACTATAATATGCATGAAAAAATCGGAAAATATGCATGAAAATATGCAATAAAACCAAAATATTCGCGAAATTATGCAAGAAAAATTAAATTTACACCTAGAAATTTAAGATTTAAGTCTGAACATTTAAACACCCATTTTTATTAAGATTTTTCCCATTTTTAAATTGTTGTTCGACAAATTGAGTATTTTTACTCAGTTGGACATTTTGAGATAAGGCGTTTTGATGGTGGGACATTTTGGTGTGGGGCGTTTTGGGGTCGAGACATTATGGTGAGGGCGATTTTCGGGCACTCAAAAAAATTTTTTCAAAATTTGTAATTTTTACAAAAAATTTTCCTAATTTTTACAAAATTTACACTATTTTGGCAGGATTTTGGGCAATTTTAGAGATATTTTACCAAAAAACCCCAAAATATGCATTAAAATATGCATTATGCAACAAACCCCGAAATATGCAAAAATATGCATTATATGCAAATAGAAACACCCTTTAATGTTTTTAAAACAAGCGGAAAGTGTGTTTTTTGTGCATTATACACTCTGTCCCAAAAATATACATCCACCTATATTTTGTGGCTTAAGTCCGTAAGTTGTCAACGGATTTGAATGAAAATTTAATACATAATGCAGAAAGACATTTTGAAAGTATATATAAAATTTGAAAAAATTCTAATTATGCACTCAATATTTACAACTATTTATTTGTAAAATAGGGACCTATTTTACAAATAAATAGTTGTAAATATTGAAAATAGGGACCTATATTTTTTATTTGTAAAATAGGGACCTATTTTACAAATAAATAGTTGTAAATATTGAGTGCATAATTAGAATTTTTTCAAATTTTATATATACTTTCAAAATGTCTTTCTGCATTATGTATTAAATTTTTATTCAAATCCGTTGACAACTTACGGACTTAAGCCACAAAATATAGGTGGATGTATATTTTTGGGACAGAGTGTACATCATGCCAAGTTTGCCAAAAAAATATGCATTTGCATAAAAATCCGCCCTCTAATTATAATATACAGGGTGCGGCAACTTTCCCGCCCCTTTTGTTTTTGCCATAACTTTCTTTAAAATTGATGAAAATTGATAATTCTTTTTTTATTCTATTCCCAACACTCTAGGAAAATTTTTTATGCTAAAATTTGTTTTAAATTTTAAGGTTTAGCCTGCTTAATTTTCCTTCAAAGTTTGAGTAAAATTTTTTCATAAAAGTTGGCCTGGGCTCAATGTTAAGATTTCGATATTTGAAAACTTTATGCCATTCGAATAAGCTCTTCAAACTGATTCGAATAATGTTTAAACAAAACTCTTATCTAGTCCATGAGCTGAGATATGAATTTTTAAATATAAATTAGAATATAAGTGTTAAATTTCTATTTTTTAGTCGAAATTTTCAAAAATGTTTTTCTGGGATATTTCGATGCTCCTCAATGAGATAAGTCGATTGGTACCAAAATTAGTAAGATTGGACGACATTGAGCAAAGTTATGACTGTGTAAACTTTGTCATAAAAAATGTTTTTTACGCATTTAAATGTTCGGACGGGTATATCCTTACTAAAACTTAACCAAATTTCAATTGCTTGGTATCAAAAATTTTCCTAGAGTGTTGGGAATAAAATAAAAAAAGAATTATCCCTTTTGGTTGACTTTGAAAAAAGTCATGACAAAAACAAAAGGGGCGGCCAATTTGGCGCACCCTGTATTTTAATATAATATATCTTTTAATATATTTTTATTTATTTTTGAGGTCTATCTAAACTTAAGATCAGGTGGTTTATTGTCTGATTTAACACCCATTAAATTACCAGAATTATTAATTATTAAAGAAGAATTAAATAATGAAGAACAAAAAACAGATGAATCTAATAATATAAGTAAAGTAGATGAAACTATTTTTGATCATCTTTTAGAAAATAAAGAAATTATTTTTGAAGAAGTAATTGAAAAGAATAATGAGGAAAATAATGAAAAAGAAAAAATTAATTTTACTATTGAAGAAGAAATTGTTGTTGAAAATGGGGAGGAAGAAGGAAATAATAATAAAATTATTAATTTTATTGAAAAAATAGAAGAAAGAAAAGAAAAAGAGAAGGGAAAAGAGAATGTTGGGAAGGAAAAGGAAGAAGAAGAAAATAAAAAAGAAAATACTATTAATTGTGTTGATGAAACAATTTTTGAAGAAGAAGAAGAAGGAAATAATGCAAGTATTTTAATAATTGATGAAGAAGAAGAAGAAGAGGAGGAAGAGGATGATTTTAGTAAAATAATTGATGATGCTGATAATGAATTTTCATTTTAAATTTTAAAAATTTTGTTTAATTTTTGTTTAGTCTTTGTTTTTTAATAATAAGAAAAGGTAAAGAAGGGATTTTGGATTGGAGCTTGTTTAAATAAACATAAATTTATATTGGTAAAGGCGGAATTTATTTTTATAAAATTTACAATTTTTTGTAATTTAAGTACTTCTGGAGGGGACCTCTCACTTTTAATTTAAAAAATATATTTTCTTTTTATATTTTATCAACTTTCTTCCCTCCTTTTTCCACATTTTCATAAAAAAGATTTCCTCTTTCATTTTGTTCTGTTTCAATTGATTCAAATAATGCTTTAAAATTGCCAGCTCCAAATCCCTTTAATTTAAATTAATTTTAAATTTAATTTAAATAAATTACTTGGTGATTATGACGTTGAATTATTTCAATAAAAAGTGTTGGGCGGTCTTGACAGGGTTTTGAAAATATTTGTAGTAAATAACCATTCTCATCAAAATCAACAAGAATTTTTAGTTTCTATAAAATTTAAATTTTTTGAGGGATTTTTGAGAGGAAATTTAAAATTTGCTCGCACTCGTACCTACATATCTAAATTTTCTCATACACATAAACAGGTAGAGTACGAATTTTTAAATGAGCTTAAAAGATCTATACAACCCTCTCCCCTAATTTTACACAAATTCAAGCTTTTTAGTTTTAATCAAAATTCCACCCCCCTCCCACTCTCTTTTCCTTAAAACAACCATCCCTCTTTCTTCCATTTCTTTCAAAAAATTTACTTGTAATATATTAATATCTTCTTCAATTTTCATTTTAGCAGCTTCAAGTCTTTCCCTCAAATTTAAATAATAAGAATCTGGAATAGAAAGAAATTGTAATCCTCTAAATTTAAGTGATTCTATTGCTTTAATTATATTTGATGTATTTAAAGCAATATGTTGAACACCGGCCCCTCCATAATAATCAACAAATTCTTGTATTTGAGAGACTGCTTTTCTTGATTTTGCTGGCTCGTTTATAGGCATTTTAATTGTTTCCTCTTTATTTGCCATTACAATTGAACGAAGGGCCGAATATTCTGTGTGAATAACAGAATCATCTACTGACCAAAAACGGTGAAAAGCAAGTACTCTTTCATACCTAAAAATGTTTGGATAAACTGAATACGGAGGAATTTAAATCCATTTTTTTCTAGAAATTACTATAAAGGAAGTACAAAGTTTTACGTAATTTTGTTCCCTAGGAATTGAAACAAAATCTGAACAACGTTCATAGAGCCTCCCTCCCTCCCCAGCATTATAACTTTCAATCCCTCGATACCCCCATTAATCCTTCATAATCCCTACAAATCATCCAATATTACTTTTAATCCTCATAAATATATCCCACAATCTTTCTTGTAATCTCAACTCAGTTTCAAAACTGTATCTTGTATAGGCTCGTTTTTTTATGTATAAGTTTTTTTATCTTGTATAAGTCGTTATATTCTATTATATTTGATCCCACAAATTTCTTTTTTTCTAAATTTTAACAAATCCTTCCTACCATTGTGCCACACTTTCCATAGTCAAATCTGGTTGATTTCCCACACAATGATCTATAAACTTCAGTTCTGGTTGAGGAAAATTAAATTCATTTTCTGTTTCCTCATTTGCTGGTTTAAATCCGGGAAGGAACACTCCACGATATTTACTTCGATCAATTAATGTGTGGACTGTATCTCCATACTTTAAAATTAACAAAAGAAAAAATAATTGTTTAAATTGATTAATGTAATTTTAAAAAGTTTTTTCTTAAATGTTTTGCCAAGTTAAATTAATTAATCAAATAAATCTTTCATTAAAACAAATATTTTAATAACTAATTAATTTAAAACTTTACCGTCTGAATTGAAGCCTGAAATTAAAAATATTTTAGTACCTAAATCTTTATTCGCATCTTAGATACCCTCAAAATTAGATACCGATTTACTAAATAATTACCCTGGTTAATTATTCTTTCAATCATTCACTGGAGGGGATAATTTAAATAGAGGGAGGGAGGGGGGGGGGGTAATTATTTGAGTAAATACGGTAATCCTCATTTAAGTGGGTATCTAAATTTTTCTCTTCAATTTTCTCCCTTACCACCCTAACAGATCCATTTTCATCCGTATCTTCAGTTACATCTTCAACAATTTTCCCTCCATTTATTTTTGCTTGTTCAACTATCCAATCCAAATTATCTACTTCAAAAGCAACATCTTTTACACCTTTTTTATTTTAAATTTAATTTTTTAATTTTAATTTAATTAACCATCTCCATGTTTATTTAAATGTTTCCCAATTTCTTCATTATTTGGCAAAAGAGGGGATTCAAAAACAAAAATTATTTTTCCCTGCTTTATTGCATGGGCTACTGTTCTTTAAATATTTTTTTAAAATAATTAAATTTTTTTTCAAAACCTTCTACTCCCAGTTTCAAGTCCTCTATATGCAAATGTTTTAAAACCAAAATTTATACGATACCAATGAGCAGCCTAAATTTAAAAATTGGGTAAATAATTGAGAGCAGGTAAATCGAGAATATCATCTTGATTAAAATCTAGTCTCGGTCTAAACTCTCTAATTTATAAATTGGTTATACTGTGTATTCTTGTTTCTTTAATTTAAAATCCTCTCTAACCTGCTTAGCATTTCCAACCCAAAAGCGGATGTGATCGAAACAAACAAAACGAGAATCTTCTCCTTCTTTTTTTCCGTTTTTCATTATTTCTTTAAAATTAAATTTTTAATTATTGAATGAAAAATTAATTGGAGAGAAAAGTGCGCAAAAATAATTATAATTTGTTGATTATTATTCTCTTCTCTCCTTTTTTATATTTAATTAATTAAAGTATCTCTCCATCAATTATTATTTTGATCATATTTTTATTTTATTGCATCAGACACACGCGACTTTAACATTCTTTTTTTCGTTGAAATTATTTTTATTTAATTTAATATTTTCGTTGAAAAATATTTAAAACAAAATTCTTTTACCACGCGTTTATTTTAATTAATTTTAAAGACTCTTTTAGAAATATTTAAACTTTATTTCTCTTTAATTTAATCTTTCAGGCTTAGGAATATTATGTTTCAACGAAAAAAGTTTCTCCAATTCGGATATAGACTTAAAAAAATTAGATACATTTATAATGTAGTAGTGAAATCTTACAAGAATAATTTAATTTTTCTATCCTCTCTCATCTTTGACTCGTCCAAATAACCTCTCGATCATTCTATCCCAAACTTTAATTCAAAATATAAATTAATTTTTAAATCAACCCCCTCAATTTATTATTTTTTACTTTCTTTTTTTTTAATCAATTAAAAAATATAACCAACAACCAAAAAAGTGATAGTGGTCCTCAAGAAATAAAATTATAAGAAGAAAAAAAGTTATAGTATATAATTTTACAAAAATGTACTTATATAATAGAAAAAAATTTTTAAAAAAATAGAGAGAGAGACTGTTCTCACAACTAAAAAGTTTAAAAAATAATCAAAAAAGAAAACTGCTGCCGTTTTTAAAATGAGCAAAAAGTTTAATTTTAAATATAAAGAAATGAGAAAACCCAAAACAGAAAGAGAGAAAGTTATATAATTTGAAAGTAATTAGAGAGAGAATTCTATCAGTAAATATACAGACTACTTCAATTGTAGCTACACCTTTGTGGCTTAAAAATAAAACCTTAAATTAAGGGTATCATATCCTAAGGGAATCCCCTGATTCGATATCCAATCCAAAATCCCCGGCCATTTTTGTGTACCCGGTACGCCAACTCTACTTGTAATGAAATTACTTTGAAGAGGTGATATCTCTTTTAAACGGCCTCTCCCTCAAGTGCCAAACCAAAATAAAAACATCCATTAAATGTATCTACAAATCCGTGTATTTACAATTGAAGACTGTATTTGGTTAGAAAAAAAAATTCTAACAAAAATAGTCAAAAAAATGGTGGTATTAATGTTTAATAGTCTACATATTATTTTAAAGTTTTCTTTAAAAACCTTTCTATAATATTCCTTTTCATTTCTCTCTGTTCCTACTCTATATGTCCCAGTTTATTCGCTAGAAGGAGGCAATACTTCCAAATGTTCAGACGAATAATTAATTTCATTAGTCTCAGAAAGTATTCCGTTTTTACTAAAAAATATTGTTACAAATTTTTATTCGTTTAAAAAACCTCAAATTATTCCCATTCGAAGCATAATCACTAATAGTTGTCGAATTTGATGAAACTGAAGATGGTTGAATAACACTTGTCAACGAAGAACTTGAATGATGTTTTAAACGATAACATTCTGGCAAAACTTCAAAAGATTCAAGACTTTCATTTCTCATACGTCTCTAAAAAATTTTTTTATTTAATTAAAATATTTAATTCTTTTAAATTTACTGAATTAGAATTCTCATTTGAATATTTTCCATTAATAAAAGGTTCACGCATTGAAATATTATTTTGTTGACCATTTATATTATTTGAAGAATTTGATGATGGATTAAGTTTTCCAAGTTGCTTAAATTTGAAAAATAAATTTATTTTTCTTTTCATTTTAAAAACCTTTTCAAGATCATATATACGTCTCAAAACTTTATCTTCAAATTGAGACGGTACACGAGAAAGTCCATCAACATCCAAACATTTCTAAAATAAAAAATTATATTACAAATTAATCCGAAAATATATTAAAGGAATTAAATTCAAAAAATTCTTTTTTTTTCATTCCAAAATTAACAAAAATTTTTGGAAAATTTCCTTTTCTCAATTCGGAAAAAACAAAATTAATATATTTGGAAAGTAAAAGAACCTGGCAGAAAACTGCAGAAATTGAACCTATTGTACAATTATCATGTATCTTTGTCGCTGAATGTCCAATACAAGGCGAACCACATGAAACACCAAAACCAATGGTTGGCCTTAAACAAAAATCAATTTACAATAAAAATTAATAAAAACCCTGGAGATGGAATTGGAGTTGTTAAATTCATTGATTGCTCTACTAAAGATGTCAGACTGGCTGCTGACTGAAATTAAAAATATTTAAATTTTAATTAAATCAAAAACCTGAGATCGAGAAAGACCATTATTTACTTTGTCAGAAGAAACATCTTGTGTGCTGCCTGTTCCCGTATTTTGATGAGAAGGTTCATTCTTAATAAATTAGGGATGTAACAAAATATTAAGAAAACTCTCAAAAAATTGTCTAAATGTCATAACCCATTTAGAAAATGTTTGACATTAATGTTCATAATTCTGGTAGTATCTAACATTTTCAAAATATACCGGATTATTAATTAGCGACTGATCAGCCGTACAATAATAAGCATCTCTCCAAATCAACAATTCTGGTAAAGTTTTTGGGTAACGAAGCATTCCACCAGCATAATCCTCACGAAAGGCAGGATTGCGAAATCTTTATAAAAAAAATAAATTTAAAAAAACATTTAACGAAAGCTAAATACTCTGTATTGTGTTTCCCCAAATAACTCCAAACTTGAAAACAACGATGTCTATGCTCATCAGTATCATTTGGATCGCATCCATTTTTTATTGCATCCTTCAAAGAATTAAACAAAAAAGTCCCAAAAAGACCAGAAAAAGTGTGTTGGGCAAGTTTCATCTAAAAATTAACAAAAAAATAATAAAGAAAATTACTTTTAAAAAACCAAATATCGCCGATTAAATTCAAATTGGTCAGTATTTTTCTCCCAAAGTTGATAAACGCAATCCAAAAATTGAAGAAAAACTGGACACTTTTCATTATCATCAGTATTAAGAACACCACAGCGATCAGAAAATTTATGTCCAAATTCAATCCATTGCCAACGAATTAAAAATTCAAAACTGAAAAACATTAAAATTAAAGAAGAAAATCTTTAAACATAAAAACCCTTCAAAAGTGCGGTAATGCGGATCGGCTATTAACATACACAACGAAACAATTTGAGTAGTACGATCCCAACCATCCGAGCAATGAACAAGAACACTGGTACCTTAAAAATAAAAGAAATATTTAAAAAAATAATTTAAAGAAAAAACCTTCATTGCACAAAGATTTTAAACAACGTTCAACAGAATTAAACAATTGACAAATATTATGTAGCCAAAGTGTAGATTGCAAATTTTGAAGGAAAATATTAGGATCTAAAGCGCCGTTAAGAGTTTGACGAAGTTGATGAAAGCTGTATCGAATGTTGTGAATATTTGCCAAACCCATAAAGATAACGTCAGCATTAGGGTAAGTATCTAAATTGATAAATTAGTGGTTTAGGTTACTTGCTTTGTTATTTTAGTAAACAACCCGATTTTGGGACAGAAAATAATTACCAAAACTTATTAAATTTAAAATAACCTGGTCCTTCAAATCCACCTCCTTTGGCTCTATTTGCCCAAGCAGCCGTGTAAGAACGAGCATCAACAATAAGAAACTTTTTGTTTAAATCTAAATTTAAGATAAAAAATTTAAAAAATATTTTTCAAAAACCTGGAGAGATCGCAGAACGAATTCTTTCGTAATGAGAGATATCCTTTCTATAAAAAATTTTACTTATTAAAATATTTTAAATTAAAAATTCCAACTCGTTTGTCAATCCAAAAAAGCCAATAGATGGCTGGCTGCTTCGCAATAAAACAGCTCCATTACGTTTGTTTCGCCAAACAACTGTAGGGAATCGACGATAGCAACGGCCATAAGACATTTGCTTCAAATCCTCATCGCTAACAGATTTTGGAACAAACAAAAATTGAGGATAAGTCGGACAAATTCTATTTATGAAAATAATAGTTTAAAAATTTCTTAATAATCTTACTCAAATGTCTCATTTTTCACAGAAATTCGCCAATTATCATCTGGAAGTTTTAAACGTCTAAAAAGGAAATAAATTAATAAAAACAAAAAAATTTAACCGAAATTCGTTGTGCAAATGTTCATAAGCAGAAAGCCTTTTAGTCTCTTTACGTAACCAATTTGGTGGCTTTTTTGATGTTTGATTAAAAAAAGTAAAAGCAAATATGCCATCCAAATCTCTAACAACACAAGTCTTTTGCATCAACTTTTTATACCAAGCACAGGCAGTCTCTGAGTTTTCAGCTCGAAGTCTTAAAAGATTTTCGGTAAATGACGTTTCCATACCACTCTTTTCCTCCGTTTTTTCTTATACATGTACAGAATGGTCAGACCTTTTATCTTTCTTCCATCCAAATTGCTTTTTTATATTGCTCAAAACCAATCAGAAAGGCAAATGCGATGAAAAAAGGAAAAAGTCTGACCCTTCTGTACATATTCTATATAGAAAAAACTTGGAAGGAAAAGGAATGATACTACTACTACTGGATATTTTAAATATAAACAAAAAAACAAACTTAATTATCTTGCCATCTTTAGAACTAATTTGAAGTCCAACAATATCTTTCGCCTCTAACAACTAAAAAATAAAGTCTAAGAAAAATAATTTAAAAAATTAAAAATACGTCAACTCCTGTTAAAGGGATTGCACAGATTGCACTCTGATTATGAGCAACAATAATAATACGAAATTGAGTAACATAAAGTTGACCTATAAAAAATAGAAAAAAATATAAGAAAAATAATAATACATGATTCCATATCTACAAAATTGTCGCTGTCAATGTCTTCTCCTGGCAGAAAATACATTGAATGTAAATTAGAAGTCGAACGAGAGGACTAAAAAATTTGAAATGAATTTTAGAATTAGTGTGAAATTTAGGAATTGAATGAAAGACAATGCCTTTTTTGACAGTTTTATGGCCCTAATAAAGGTAGTTGCCCTCTCAGATTGAAAGGAAGCTATGACAATATTGGAAGTGAAAATTATTAAAATTAGTTTTGTAGAGAATAAATAGTTAAATTCTAAATTTTAGCTTAAAAATTAAAACTTACAGCAGTACGTGTCCTAACGGTAGTATTCTTTAATTCTGCATAACTCGACTGAGGAAAAGTATGCCCATTTTCGGTTGTTATACTGACAAGCCTTTCGTCACGAAGAGTTGCACTGCTACTGCTTGATGGTACAGCACTCGAGTCAAAAACACCTGTAGCTCCCTCATTACAAACAGATTGATTATCATTACAAGGCATAGAAAGTTTGAAACGTGTGAAGTTATTTAGTCGTTAATTAATAAATTTTTAAAAATTTTTCGAATTCCTAGAAAAAGAAGATTTGATGCTGTTTTTATAAATTAAAAATCTGTCTAAAAAGGGCATTTTCCTCTAAATAAATTACAGTAACCGGTTTCGAGGCCTCCAAGAATATTTATTTCAAAAGTAGTGTACATATGTCCAAATCAACACGTCCAGTCAAAAATAGCCACCATATTTTTCCATATGGCGACAAACGGAAATGCATTTAATGACTATGCGAAAAAGTTGAGCGCGGCCACTATGGCTCAAGGGCATGCGGGAAATATTGTTAGAATAGTGTCCCCCGTCATTGGGGTCTTGCGCCACAGCGACCCGCAATATAGCGGGTCGCCTCGAAAAAGTCCATGCGTCATTCGCGCGGTGATATCAAAATGTAAACTTGTTGAAAATATTTCAAAATACCCATTAAAAAGAATACAATTTCAAAAAGAAAATTTTTAAATGTTTGGAATATTTTTCTCACAAAATAAACAATAGAATTGTGAAAATATATTAAACCCCATTTACATTTTCTAAATTTGTTGAAATTTCGATCATGCTTGATTACTCACGTTAGGTATATAGAATAATTTGTAACGTTTGTACATTTTGACAGTTTTTATTTCGTTATTATTTTAGAAAAGTGTCTTTTTGGTAAAATTTTTTGACCAAAAATTATCGAGAAACGAATCTTCTTGATTCGAAAACTTTTGAATGGTTGCAATTTTTATTTGTTTATTTTGCGTTTTATGGTGACTAATAGATATTGAGATCAATAGTTTAGTATTTCGTCCTTATAAGCTCATAAGAGTGCATGTGATTTTTAACATTTCAATTTATCTGAGTAAATTTTTTTTATCTTTTAGATTTAAAATACTAAAATGACTTCCTTGATACCTATACGTTTTCAAGAACTCTTTTCTGTAAGTTTTTTTGAAATTACTGGGGTTTTATTTCTTATTTTAGTTGCAAAAGATGGGGATCAGTCCGAACAATATCAGTTTTGGATATGTGACCATGGAATCTGACAAGTACATCGTTGTTAGAGAGACAGTTGGTGACTCGTCGCAAGCCGTCGTTATAAATGTTGCGAACCCAACTGATATTCTTAGAAAACCGATTAGCGCTGACTCGGTTATGATGCATCCAGTTTCGAGAATTTTGGCTCTTAAATGTTTTTTTTCATTACTTTTTTTAAAAAAATCCTTTTATTTTTTAGTGCTTAAGAATCTCCAAATTTTCGATTTGGAATTGAAAGCCAAAATAAAAGCTTACAGTGGAACAGAAGATGTTAAGTTTTGGACCTGGATTAACTCAAATACCATTGGATTTGTGACAGATGTTTCGGTGTACCATTGGACACTTAGTGGTTTATTGTTTTTAATTATACATATTAACTGCCATTTAAGGTGATGCTGCACCTGCCAAAGTATTTGATCGACATTCAACTTTGCAGAGTACTGAAATAATCAGTTATCGATCTAACGCCGATGGGAAGTTTCTTTTGCTTGTTGGAATTTCGTCAAAGGTTGTTTCCTTTATTCGTTTCTAAATTAATTTAAAAATAGGATAGTCGCATTGTTGGAGCAATGCAACTCTATAGTACGGAGAGGAAGGTTTCTCAAGCCATTGAAGGTCATGCTGCTTGTTTTGTACAATTCAAGCTTGAAGGTAATCCACATCCGAGTAGTCTTGTTTGTTTTTCTTTGCGTAATGCTGCTGGAGGAAAGGTTATTTGAAAGTGATTACAATGTCAAATCGAATTTTTAGTTGCACATTGTGGAAGTCTCACAAACTCCTGCTGGCAATCAGCAATTTCCTAAGAAGGCCATTGACGTTGTTTATCCTGCTGATGCTGCTTCGGACTTTCCTCTTTCAATGCAGGTTTAGTTTGATTTAGATTCTAGCCTCGATTTATCTTAATTTTTAGGCGTCCTCAGCTTATGGAATTTTGTATATGATCACCAAATATGGTTATGTTCATGTGTTCGATATCGAGACTGGCTTTTCAATCTATACAGTTCGTATTTCGACTGATACGATTTTCATTACAACTGAACATACTTCTAATAATGGCGTTCTTGGTATTAATAGAGCTGGCCAGGTTTTCATCTTATCTAATATACAGCCCTACAAATTTATTTAAGGTCCTTTCTGTTTGTTTGGACGAAACAACCGTCATTCCTTACGTCACTCAACAATTACAAAATCCGGATTTGGCTCTCAAATTGGCTTGTCGTTGCAATCTTCCTGGGGCTGAAGAACTTTTTGTTCGCAAATTTAATTTGTTGATTGGAAATGGAAATTATCCAGAAGCTGCAAAAGTTGCTGCAACTGCACCTCAAAATATCCTCAGAACACCACAGACGTTACAAAAATTCCAAGTTGCTGTTCCACAAGGGAAGGCTACTTATCCTCTTCTAATCTATTTCAATGCGTTGTTAGAACAAGGCTCTTTAAATAAATATGAGTCATTGGAATTATGTCGACCTGTTTTAGTTCAGGTTTGTACTTTAACATTTATGATGAATCTTTCCTTTCTTTTTCAGGGAAAGAAACAACTTGTTGAAAAATGGATTTCTGAGAGCAAACTGGAATGTAGTGAAGAATTGGGTGATTTGGTTAAGCAATATGACGTTAATCTCGCATTAAGCATTTACCTTCGCGGCAGTGTGCCACATAAAGTTGTTCAGTGCTTTGCTGAAATGGGACAATTTGACAAGATTATTCTCTATGCTAAAAAGGCAAATTACGAACCTGATTATCTTTACCAAATGCGTCAAGTTTTGCGAACACATCCAGATAATGCTGCGACATTTGCGCAAATGTTGGTCAGCGAGGGTCCAAATGGAGAACCATTGGCTGATATAAATCAGGTTTTATTTGTAACTTTCTGTTTTTCATTTCAAACTTCTTTAAAGATTGTTGACTGTTTTGTAGAGGTTGGAAATATTCAGCAATGTACTGCATTTTTGTTGGAAGCTCTAAAAGGAGATAGTGAATCGCAAGCTCATCTTCAGACTCGTCTTTTGGAAATGAATTTACTTTCTAATCCTCAAGTTGCTGATGCAATCTTAGGAAATCGAATGTTTAGTTATTATGATAGAGCCGCAATTGGGCAACTTTGTGAGAAGGCTGGTTTGTTACAACGAGCGCTTGAGCATTTTACTGATCTTTATGATATCAAACGTACAGTTGTTCATACGACACTTTTCAATCCAGAAGTAAAATTTAATTGATAAAAGTTAATTTTTCTCCTTCTTCATATTAAGTGGCTCATTAATTACTTTGGTCGACTCAATGTCCAAGATTCGTTGGAATGTTTAAAGGCAATGTTGCAGACAAATCTTCGTCAAAGTCTTCAAATTGTTGTGCAAATTGCGTCCAAATATTCTGAACAATTGACTACACAAGCGCTTATTGATTTGTTTGAATCTTTTAAAAGCTATGAAGGCCTCTTCTACTATCTTGGTTCTATCGTTAATTTCAGTCAGGATCCTGAAGTTCACTTTAAATATATTCAGGTATTTGTTAAATCTATTGAAAAGATTTTTTGTTTGTTAATCTTTACTCAAAATCATTTTTTTATTACATCTAGGCCGCTACGCGTGCTGGACATGTTAAAGAAGTTGAACGAATCTGCCGTGAGTCCAACTATTATGATGCTGAACGAGTCAAGACATATTTGAAAGAGGCTAAATTGACTGATCAGGTGCATTTCTTTGAGAAATGACTTTTCTCGATAATTTTATTTTCTGATTTTGTTTTTTTATTACTTATAAATTTTTGTTTAGTTGCCATTAATAATTGTTTGCGATCGCTATGACATGGTTCATGATCTTGTTCTATACTTGTATCGCAGTAATTTAATGAAGTCGATTGAAGTTTTTGTAAGCAAAGTAAATCCTAAACGCCTTCCTATTGTTGTTGGTGCATTGTTGGATGTTGATTGTAGTGAAGACACAATCAAACAATTAATTCAAAACACTCGTGGAAAATTTGACATTGATGAGCTTGTTGAGGAGGTTGAAAAAAGAAATCGGTTTATTTCTTTCTTAATTCTGCTTTTAATATAAATTCTTTTTTAAAGTCTAAAACTTCTGAGCTCTTGGCTGGAAAGTCGTGTGCAGGAAGGCAACTTTGATCAAGCCACACACAACGCTCTCGCAAAGATATACATTGATTCAAATAACAATCCTGAACGTTATCTTCGTGAAAACCAATATTACGATTCAAAAGTTGTTGGCAAGTATTGTGAGAAACGTGATCCACATTTTGCTTTGGTGGCATACGAACGTGGAAAGTGTGATGCCGAACTTATTTCTGTAATTTCTTAATATTTTCAAATTATTAAACGTGATTTTAAGGTTTGTAATGAGAATTCTCTCTTCAAAAATCTTGCTCGATATTTGGTCCGTCGTCGAGATGCGGAACTTTGGGCACAAGTACTTAAAGAAGACAATCCTCATCGACGTCAATTAATTGATCAAGTTGTTCAAACAGCACTTTCTGAGACTAAAGATGCTGAAGATATCACTCATACAGTAAAGGCGTTTATGGCTGCGGATCTTCCAAACGAATTAATTGAATTACTTGAGAAAATTGTTCTCGACACTTCAACTACAAGCGAACACAGAAATCTTCAAAATTTGTTAATTCTTACTGCAATGAGAGCTGATCCTTCACGAGTAATGGAATATATTCAAAAACTTGATAATTATGATGCACCTGACATTGCTAATATTGCCATTACAAATCAACTTTTTGAGGAAGCTTTTGCGATTTTTCGTAAATTTGGTGTGAATGCGTCAGCAATTAAGGTATTTTTTTATAATTTTTGAAAGATTTTGTAAATTAATTTTTAGGTTTTAATTGAAAATATTAGAAATTTGGATCGTGCTTATGAATTTGCAGAAAAGGTTAATGAACCTGCAGTTTGGGCTGCACTTGCCAAAGCTCAACTAACGGAAGGATTGGTAAAGGAAGCTGTTGATTCCTTTATAAAAGCTGATGATCCAAGTGCTTTTATTGATGTAGCAAAAAAATGCGACGAAACTAACCATTGGGAAGATCTTGTTCGTTATCTTCAAATGGCTCGAAAGAAATCACGCGAATCTTTTATTGAAACTGAGCTTTGTTTTGCATATGCAAAAACTGGTCGATTGGCGGACCTTGAAGAGTTTATAGCTGAGCCCAATCATGCACAAATTCAACAAGTTGGTGACCGTTGCACAGAACAAGGAATGAATGATGCTGCCCGTATTTTATTCAACAGCATCAGCAACTTTGCTAAACTTTCGACTACTCTGGTTGAATTGGGAGATTTTCAAGGTGCTGTTGATGCTGCTCGAAAGGCTAATTCTACAAAAACATGGAAACAAGTAAATAATAAAATTTTTAGAGTTTTATTTTTGATACACTTTTTTTAGGTTTGTTTTGCTTGTGTAAATCATAAAGAGTTTCGTCTTGCGCAAATTTGTGGTCTCCACATTGTTGTGCATGCTGATGAATTGGAAGAACTGATAAATTACTACCAAAATCGCGGCCACTTTGAAGAACTCATTGCCCTATTGGAATCTGCTTTAGGATTAGAACGAGCACATATGGGAATGTTTACAGAGTTGGCTATTCTTTATAGCAAATATAAATCTGAGAAAATGCGTGAGCATCTGGAGTTGTTTTGGTCGCGTGTTAATATACCAAAGGTTTTTCAAATTTAGGGATTTATAAATTTATTTGTGTTAAGGTTCTTCGTGCCGCGGAGCATGCTCATTTATGGTCTGAACTTGTGTTTTTGTATGATAAATATGAGGAATATGATAACGCTGTGAATACAATGATTCAACATCCAACAGAAGCTTGGCGTGAACAACATTTTAAAGAAATTGTTACAAAGGTCTTTTTTAATTTTAAACTATATTTATAATGAATTTCACAGGTTGCAAATGTTGAGCTCTATTACAAGGCTATTCAATTTTATTTGGATTACAAGCCAATGTTGTTAGTTGATTTATTGATGGTATTGTCGCCTCGTCTTGACCAAACACGGACTGTTATGTTTTTCCAAAAATGTATATAAATTAATGTCTGAGATTTTGTAAATATTTTTATTTTTCAGCTGGCGACCTTTCGCTTGTCCAGCCATATCTTCGGCACGTCCAAAATTTTAACAACAAAGCACTTAACGAGTGTCTAAATCAATTATTTATTGATGACGAAGATTATGAATCATTAAAGGCTAGTATTGAAACTTATGATAATTTTGACAATATTGCTTTGGCTCAGCAATTGGAACAACACTCATTGGTTGAATTTCGTCGAATATCTGCTTACCTCTACAAGGGAAATAATCGATGGAAACAATCTGTAGAAATTTGCAAAAGAGACAAACTTTACTCAGTTTATTTTAATTTTTTTTATTAAGAACTTTTTTAATTTAAGGATGCAATGGATTATGCGGCAGAGAGTCGTCAACCAGAAGTTGTCGAAGGTTTAATGAAATTTTTCTTACAAGAAGGACTAAATGATTGTTTCTCTGCATTATTATATAAATGTTATGATCTTTTGAAACCTGATATTGTATTAGAATTGGCTTGGAAACACAAAATTGTTGATTGTGCTATGCCTTTTATGATACAAACTGTTCGTGATTTTGGATCGAGGGTATTTTGTTTTAAAATCTAAATTTTTAAATAAAATACATGTTTGTTAGTTGGAAAGACTTGAAAGAGCTGAGGTTGAAAGAAAAGAAGAAGTTAAAGAACAGCAACAACGTTCAGGAAATATTAGTAAGAATTTTTGTTTTGAAGGGAGAGGGCAATTTTTGCTATCGTTCTGGGGGCATTCATTATTTTCCTTTGAACGAATTTCCATCTTTCCGTCGACATTGGCTTACTAATACTTGCTTTTTTTATATGTATATTTTATTTTAGTGGAGCCTCAACTAATGTTGCCAGCCTATCCGTCTGTTCAGAATTCTACATATCCTGGTGCAATACCTGCTGCGCCATTTGTGACGCCTGCTTATGCGACTTTTCCTTTTAATAAATGAAGTGTTGTGACGATTGAAAATATAAGAATAATAATGAGGAGAATCTTGACTTAAATATATCGCAAATTCTATGTTAAAGAATCGTTTATAAATTGACTTTTGGTAATTCTGAACTGTCCCATCCAGTTTTTTTTCCTAAGAGATGAATTATGGACAGGAAGTTCAAATTACAAAATTTTTCTCAAAACAATTATATTTTTTGTTTTCACTTGTAATGACTTCTTTAAATTAGTGAGGGATTATTTGTTTGTTTTATTTTTTTAATTGGTTTTGGGTTAAAAAATTATAATTGCTTATTTAAAATTAGCTTATCAAGTGTAATTAACCATATAGTATTGTCATATTTAAAGTTAACATATTTTTTGTCTCATGTTAAATTAGTAGACTTTTTATTACCAATCTTCTAAAAGAATATTTGTTTAATGTTTTGGATTATTGTTGGGGTCTTAATTGCTGTTATGTTAATGTAAGTTACTTTGTAATCGTTTATTAACCACATTAAAATTTCAGAATTTCAATTCTTACGGCAATTTATTTTAATAAAAATGATAAATCTAAGAATGATAAGGAAAAAGTTAAGGGAGGAGGAATTGAAATGGGAGAAGAAGAGGCTGGAGGAAATAGTAACATAATAATCGAAGAAGAGTCAGAAGGATATCAGAATTTGAATGGAGAGGATTTGGATGGAGGAAATTTGGATAAAGAAGATTGCAAAGAAATGGAAGAAGAGGCTGAAGGAAATAATTTAATAATTGAAGAAGAGGCGGAAGGATATCAGAATTTGGGTGGAGGAGATTTGGATAAAGAAGATTTCAAAATGGGAGAAGAGGCTGAGGGAAATAGTAACTTAATAATCGAAGAAGTGGCTGAAGGATATCAGAATTTGGATGGAGGAGATTTGGATGAAGATGATTTCAAAAAAATAGATGAAAAAGATTTTAATTTAAAAAGTGGAGATAATAAATTGTTGAAACTTAATTCAATCAAAATTGATTGCCAATGGAAAGTTGCAAATTCAGACAAACCAGTTGTCTTCACAGATGAACAAAAGATGAGAGTGGCCTACCATGAAGGTGGCCATTCTGTACTTGCACGTCTACTAAAGATAAACTTTCCAGTCACAAAAGTATGTTAATTTATTGAATGTTTAATTCAAAAATTTTATTCAGGTATCAGTAATTCCTGCACTTGATTACCATGGCATCACATTATTTGGTGAGGAAAGAATTCTGGAAGTTTTTCAAGATTTAGACGACAAACTTGAGATTATGTATGCAGGCGCTGCATCTGAAGAACATTTTCTCAGTGGTACACATTCAATTGGTGTTACTGATGACTTTAATAGAGCGACACAATTAGCGGCATATATGGTTTAAGATGTTCTAATATTTTTATTTATAATTTTATAGGTTGAAGAATGTGGCTATTCGGAAAAATTGGGTCCGTTAACTGCAAAACCAAATTCGTCTGAATATCTATTACAACTTCAAGATGAAGAGACGTATGCTTTAACAACAAAAGCTTGGTATAGGGCAAAAGAATCGATCAAAAAATATGAAAAGCAAATTCAAAAGGTTTATTTTGACTCCTAAATAATAAGTTCAAATAACAAGTTTTAGGTTGCCGACTTTTTGTTTCAACATGGAGAGCTCGATTCTTCAAAACTTCAAAAGTAAGTACTTGCTTTTCTTTATAAGCTTGTGCTTAGAGCCCGGACTTCGGTAAGAAACTCCTTTTCCGACAAGATCCCGGATTTTTATGCATTAATTTAAAATCTTCAAAAATACCGAATTATGCATAAAAATACCCTCCATTCATAAATGAAATTAAAAAAACAAAATCAATAAAAAAGAAGTTTATTAGTTGGTAATACGAAGGCTGTCCCCCTTTTTTCTTCTCTATGAATGTTATAGTGGTCATTCTTTTTGTCCTTCCTCAATTTCACTTTATTTCCCTGATCCAAATTCAAATCCGACTTTCTTCTCCAAAAAAGACATCAACTGTTTTTTAGTTGTTCGACAGCCACATTTATAGCAGGTCCGTTGTTTATAAATTTTAAGCTATTCGAGTCATGCATTGAAATCATTGTCGCGACGAGGAAATAGAGTGAAATTTAGTATGAATTACTGATCATTATGTCATTCCTAAGGAAAAAAGATGGGCCAGCTTTGGTATTACCGAGAAGTTTTTTACATAAAAATCCTTTTAAAAATACAACTAACTTTTTAAATTTAGCATTATTGACTCTACGCCGATCAATGACGCCCAACAATAACAAAGCTGAAAAAATAAAAAATTTATAGTAATTTGTTTTCTAGAGAGCGAGCTGGATCTGGATCCAGACCTTGATTTTTCCTGGATCCATTTTTCCTGGATCCTGGATCTATACATTTCTTCGATTGTCAGCGCCGTAGGCGAAAATTTTAAGAATTTGGACGGTCATAGGCGAAAATCCCTCCTCATGGAGCCGTTAATCGTCTAAAATCCTCTTATGTTCCTCGGTATCCTGTCAAATCCTCTTCCATATCCACTTAATCCTGAAATATCCCTTCAAATCCTAAAATATTTCTTTAAATACCCGTATATCCCACTTAATCTCCAGTTATCGGTCTAAATGAAAAAATCAAGAATCAAGGCCTGGATCCAGGCAAAAATAATCCTTGATTTTTCCTTGACTCAAGGTCAAGAATCTGGTCAAGGTACCCAACCGAAATCAAGGTCAAGGTCAAGGTTTTTTGAAAATCTCGCTCTATTGTTTTCTTGTTCTAGATCTCAATTTTTTGTGCCTTTATTTTTAGTACATTTATCTTATTTAATTATTGTAAATTATATGCTGAATTGATCAAAAATATTTTCATTGTTAGATTTATTAAGAAATTATCACTTAAAAATGGTAATGATTACATAAGGTTGTTCAAACCCGTTCACACTTTCTTATGATTTTTCTTGTTTTTTTTTTTTTGCTTTCTACATTCTAAGGAACATTTTAATTGTACTTCCCTTTAAGGTGATCTGCACCTACCAAAGTATTTGATCGACATTCAACTTTGCAAAGTACTGAAATAATCAGTTATCGATTTAACGCCGATGGGAAGTTTCTTTTGTTTGTTGGAATTTCGTCAAAGGTTGTTTCATTTTTTATTTTCTAATTATTTTGAAAATACTATAGCCGCATTGTTGGAGCAATGCAACTCTATAATACGGAGAGGAAGGTTTCTCAAGCCATTGAAGGTCATGCTGCTTGTTTTGTACAATTCAAGCTTGAAGGTAATCCACATCCAAGTAGTCTCGTCTGTCTTTCTTTGCGTAATGCAGCTGGAGGAAAGGTTTTATTTGAAATTTGATAACATTCCATCAACTTTTTAGTTGCATATTGTGGAAGTCTCACAAACTCCTGCTGGCAATCAGCAATTTCCTAAAAAGGCCATTGACGTTGTTTATCCAGCTGACGCTGCTTCGGACTTTCCTCTTTCAATGCAGGTTTAGTGTGATCCAGATTCTAGCCTCGATTTATTTTAATTTTTAGGCATCCTCAGCGTATGGAATTTTCTATATGATCACCAAATATGGTTATGTTCATGTGTTCGATATTGAGACTGGCTTTTCAATCTATACAGTTCGTATTTCGACTGATACGATTTTCATTACAACTGAACATACTTCTAATAATGGCGTTCTTGGTATTAATAGAGCTGGCCAGGTTTTTAATGATCTAATATACAGCCCTACAAATTTATTTAAGGTCCTTTCTGTTTGTCTGGACGAAACAACCGTCATTCCTTACGTCACTCAACAATTACAAAATCCGGATTTGGCTCTCAAATTGGCTTGTCGTTGCAATCTTCCTGGGGCTGAAGAACTTTTTGTTCGCAAATTTAATTTGTTGATTGGAAATGGAAATTATCCAGAAGCTGCAAAAGTTGCTGCAACTGCACCTCAAAATATCCTCAGAACACCACAGACGTTACAAAAATTCCAAGTTGCTGTTCCACAAGGGAAGGCTACTTATCCTCTTCTAATCTATTTCAATGCGTTGTTAGAACAAGGCTCTTTAAATAAATATGAGTCATTGGAATTATGTCGACCTGTTTTAGTTCAGGTTTGTACTTTAACATTTATGATGAATCTTTCCTTTCTTTTTCAGGGAAAGAAACAACTTGTTGAAAAATGGATTTCTGAGAGCAAACTGGAATGTAGTGAAGAATTGGGTGATTTGGTTAAGCAATATGACGTTAATCTCGCATTAAGCATTTACCTTCGCGGCAGTGTGCCACATAAAGTTGTTCAGTGCTTTGCTGAAATGGGACAATTTGACAAGATTATTCTCTATGCTAAAAAGGCAAATTACGAACCTGATTATCTTTACCAAATGCGTCAAGTTTTGCGAACACATCCAGATAATGCTGCGACATTTGCGCAAATGTTGGTCAGCGAGGGTCCAAATGAAGAACCATTGGCCGATATAAATCAGGTTTTATTTGTAACTTTCTGTTTTTCATTCCAAACTCTTTTAAAAGATTGTCGACTGTTTTGTGGAGGTTGGAAATATTCAGCAATGCACTGCATTTTTGTTGGAAGCTCTAAAAGGTGATAGTGAATCGCAAGCTCATCTTCAGACTCGTCTTTTGGAGATGAATTTACTTTCGAATCCTCAAGTTGCTGATGCCATCTTAGGAAATCGAATGTTTAGTTATTATGATAGAGCCGCAATTGGGCAACTTTGTGAGAAGGCTGGTTTGTTACAACGAGCGCTTGAGCATTTTACTGATCTTTATGATATCAAACGTACAGTTGTTCATACGACACTTTTCAATCCAGAAGTAAAATTTAATTGATAAAAGTTAATTTTTATCCTTCTTCTATTAAGTGGCTCATTAATTACTTTGGTCGACTCAATGTCCAAGATTCGTTGGAATGTTTAAAGGCTATGTTGCAGACAAATCTTCGTCAAAGTCTTCAAATTGTTGTGCAGATTGCATCTAAATATTCTGAACAATTGACTACACGTTTGAATCTTTTAAAAGCATGAAGGCCATTTCTATTACCTTGGTTCTATCTTGGTCCGTCGTCGTGATGATTTCAGTCAGTACCCGGAAGTTCATTTTAAATATATTCAGGTATTTGTTAGATCTGTTTATTGAAAAGATTTTTTAGTTGTATCGCAGTAATTTAATGAAGTCGATTGAAGTTTTTGTAAGCAAAGTAAATCCTAAACGGCTTCCTATTGTTGTTGGTGCATTGTTGGATGTTGATTGTAGTGAAGACACAATCAAACAATTAATTCAAAACAATCGTGGGAAATTTGACATTGATGAGGTTGAAAAAAGAAATTGGTTTATTTCTTTCTTAATTTTGCTTTTACTATAAATTCTTCTTTAAAGTCTAAAACTCCTGAGCTCCTGGCAGGAAAGTCTTGTTCAAGAAGGCAACTTTGATCAAGCCACACACAACGCTCTCGCAAAGATATACATTGTTTCAAACTGAACGTTATCTTCGTGAAAACCAATATTACGATTCAAAAGTTGTCGGCAAGTATTGTGAGAAACGTGATCCACATTTTGCTTTGGTGGCGTACGAACGTGGAAAGTGTGATGCCGAACTTATTTCTGTAATTTCTTAATATTTTCAAATTATTAAGCGTGATTTTAAGGTTTGTAATGAGAATTCCCTTTTCAAAAATCTTGCTCGATATTTGGTCCGTCGTCGTGATGCGGAACTTTGGGCTGAAGTACTTAAAGAAGACAATACTTATCGACGTCAATTAATTGATCAAATTGTTCAAACAGCACTTTCTGAGACTAAAGTTACTGAATATTTTCACAGATTAACAAAGATGGGTACTTTCCTGTTATCGGCCCTCCGTTTTTTCTTCCTTATTTATCAACCTACTTCTGTACAAAATGGTCAGATTTTCTCTCTTTCTCAAATTCACTACGTTTCCCGGTGGCAACAAAGAAAAGATTATTTTTTGCAAAGAACAGATTAATTTTTTAAAACATTCAAGATCAAAAAAGATAAAACATAAATTGTCAAAAGGGGAAGTTATCCCAATGACTTGGAAAGTTGTTCTGTAAATATGGGAAGTTGTTCTATTCTAACAATGGGGGAACAACTTCTGTCTTTTTTTGTTGCCACAAGGGAACGGGAGTGAATTTGAGAAAGAAAAAATCTGACCATTCTGTACAGAAGTAGGTGAGAAATAAGGAAGAAAAAATAGAGGGCCGATAACAGGAAAGTACCCAAAGATGAGAGCGGCCTACCATGAATGTGGCCCTACATACTTGGACGTCTACTGAAGATAAATTTTCCAGTCATAAAAGTATTCTCTATTTCATTGAATGTTTAAACAAAAATTTTATTCAGTTATCAATAATTCCTGCAGTTGATCACCATGGCATTACAGAATTTGGTGAAGAAAAAATTCTGGAAGTATTTCAAGATTTAGACGACAAACTTGAGATCATGTATGCAGGCGCTGCATCGGAAGAACATTTTCTCAGTGGTACACATTCAGTTGGTGTTACTGATGACTTTAAAAGAGCGACACAATTAGCGGCATATATGGTTTAAGATGTTCTAATATTTTTATTTATAATTTTATAGGTCTAAGAATGTGGCTATTCGGAAAAATTGGGTCCGTTAACTGCAATACCAAATTCATCTGAATATTTTAAACAACTTCAAGATGAGAAATATTTGCATTAACTACAAAAGCCTGGCTTATGGCGAAGGAATCGGTCAAGAAATTTGAAAAGCAAATTCGAAAGGTTTACTTTAGCTATTATGCAATAAGTTAAAATAAAAAGTTTAGTTTGCACTTGCCTATGTAAAAACTGGTCGATTGTCGGACCTTGAAGAGTTTATATCTGAGTTCAATCATGCATAAATTCAACAAGTTGGTGACTGTTGTACAGAACAAGGAATGAATGATGCTGCCCGTATTTTATTCAACAGCATCAGCAACTTTGCCAAACTTTCTACTACTTTGGTTGAATTGGGAGACTTTCAAGGTGCTGTTGATGCTGCTCGAAAGGCTAATTCTACAAAAACATGGAAACAAGTAGATAATAAAATTTTTAGAATTTTATTTTCTATATACTTTTTAGGTTTGTTTTGCTTGTGTAAATCATAAAGAGTTTCGTCTTGCTCAAATTTGTGGTCTCCCTATTGTTGTGCATGCTGATGAATTGGAAGAACTGATAAATTACTACCAAACTCGCGGCCACTTTGAGGAACTCATTACTCTATTGGAATCTGCTTTAGGATTAGAACGAGCACATATGGGAATGTTTACAGAGTTGGCTATTCTTTATAGTGTTACCCCCGGACTCGAGACTCGATACTTGCCCTTTTCATCAAGTCCCGACCCCGACCATATTTCCCATCGATGTTTATATTTATTTTATATTTATTCCTTCCCAGCCTATCTTTACACTTTATCTCTCTTCTTCTCAATTATTGTTCACCTTCTTCCGTTCCCAACATTAATCACAATTACATTCATCCTTTTGTCAACAACTTTATAACTTCCTCCCATCTTTCCCAGACACATTTTGCCCTATCAACTTTCTTATATCCCACCCACTATTCCCCATATTTAACCACAAACTATTCAATGTATCTTTAATTCAGTTTATCCAAGTCCCGATTTAATGTCCATATAATTAATCCTCTTTTATTATATTATCCCTTATCAAAACACTACCCGTTTAATTGTATTTTAAATGGAAATAAATATTATGAACTATTCTTTTAACTATTTAAATTAGTCCTCTGCGCCTCCCCTACCCAAATTCCCCCACAAACATACGGCGCTCTGAAGGTGCCTGGACCGGGAAGGTCCAGCGCATAACTGGTAGCACCGGATGGTTTCAACCCCCTCTAGGTCTTGGGCATCCCGGTTTCTTTTCCCTATAGATTTAATTTGTCCATTCCCTATCCTAAATTTTTGAATTAAATTTTTTTAAAAATTTTCTCCTTACCTTTATTCCATTCTTACCCTTCCTATTCTTATTTCCCTTTCCCAAGGTTCATTTCCCCCTTCACTCTACCCAAATTTTTTTCAATCCGTATTCCATCATATTTTTCAATAATTAGCATTTTCCAATAAATTCCCTTCTTATGTCCCATACTCTTCCAACCAAACATTACACATTGGCGTTATAAAAAACACCAATGTTTTGTCTCCTATTAAACATTTTTCTTTCCATTCAATTTCTTTCTGATTTTTCCTCTTCTAATTTTTCTTCATTTCTCTCCCATTCGAATTTTTAATTAGCATTCCCTTCTCTTCCCCACCAGAAATTTGAACATATCTCCATCCTGTAAGGATGGAATTTTTCAAAAATCTAAATTTTCCATTAAGATTAGTATTTTCCAATAGACTCATATGTCCGAACTTTTTCCCAGTCAAGCATTACACAAAACATTGGCGTTATAAAAAACCATCAATGCTTTGTTTGCTCCTACGCCCCTACCCCATTAAAAGACATTTTCCTTCCATTCTTTGTCCCATACGCGAACTAATAATTTCATTTCACTTCCCATCCCACTCGATAATTTTTAATTCCCATTCTTTCCACTTTCCCACGAAAAAATAAAAACATATCTTCATCCTATTAGGATGAATGATTCTCTAAGTCCCAACTGATATAAATTCCAATTAATATTTTTTTCAAAAGACGACCTATCTCCATCCTTATTCCTTTCCTCCTCCCCACCTATAAAAAAGCATTTTTATTCATTTTTAAATGAACAAAATGATTAATCCAATATAGTCAATATTTCCCAATAAATTCCTTTCCTATTGCCCAGACTCCTCAGTACAATCCATCCAATCCCACAATTTCTCCCCCTCTGGCTCTTAGGACTCCACATCTCCTTCCATTCCCCCGGGCGTTATCCGATTTTTTTTCTCAAAAATAAATAAACTTTATCCCGGATTTTAAAGATATTTTATTCAAATAAATTAAAAATCCGTGTCCATGTGAATTGTTATTTCAATTTTTCACCTTTATTTCCGTAGTTAAAAACCCTAAAGCTATTAATCATAAAATTAATCACTGAAATTTTGGACGAGGAAATCCTAAATTCCTGCCTCTTAATTCTCTCCAAAAAGAATGAGAGGAAGAACTCCCCACCCAAAATTTACTAAAATCCAATCAACTGAAGCCCCCATTTTTATAATGTCTGCTTAACCAAATGTTCAAGTGTACTTTTAAAAAAAATCAAATCCTTAATTACAAAGTCCAGGATAAATAATTAAAATAATATAGTCCAATGTGCACCTAAAAATTAAATCCCTAATAATCATTCATGAAACCAAAATCCAGGAAATCAATATAAAATAGTCCAAGTGCATTTAAAAATTAAATCCTCAATATTCAATAAAAATTTCATGTCCGAGGATAACAAACAAAAATAGTCCAATGTGCACTTAATAATCATATATAATCTCAAAGTCCTGGATACAAAAAAAGTCCTATGTGCACTCAAAAATCATATCCTTAATAATCACTCAAAGAAATCAATGTCCTGGACAAAAAAATTAAAACAAAATAGTCCGATGTGCACATAATAATCATAAATTAAAGTCCAGTACAAAAAGTTAAAATAAAATAGTCCAAAGTGCACATAATCCACATAATCCTTCCTATCCTTTATGATTAAGTAGAACATAAAGGCTTTTGATTAAGCAGACAATAAAGGCTCAAAAACTAATCACTTCCTCAAAAAGGTTTTCAAGAACGATAGTAATTTAAAGCTAGTTAATTTTAAAATAAAATATTAGCATTAATTCAAATTAATCTAATCGTGAAATATTTTACACAAAATCCAATAAAAACAATAACTCAAGGATTAAAAACCTTGGGCTCGGTCATAGTAACCATCAATTATTCAACTATACTAACACATTCAAATCTCAATTCATCTTTTATTAAATTTTTATATTAGAATAGCTGATCCCCAATTAGACGTGTATGGTTCATTCCCCTCAGGCCATGGTTAACCCAGTCCTTCCCTTACAAATTTTCTAATGGTTCAAATGCCCTCTAGGTATTGGTCACCCCCGCCCTTTCCCCTATAATTTTTTTAAAAAATGTTTTCCCTCTAGGTCTGAGTCACCCCAGTTTCTACCCTATATTTTTCAAGTAAGGTCCCCCCCTCTTTCCTCCCTCAATCTCTTCTAAATATTTAATTTTTAATTTAATTTAATTTAAAAATTATTCCCGCTCCAATCTGTATTTCCAATTCCATTCCCTCCCTATCCCATAGCTCAGAAAGACGTTAACTAAGCGACGCTAAAATTATATTTAGGAATTTTAAAGATCCCCCTCTCTTCAAGTAAAGAAATCCATTAGAATTAATTTGAAATTAATCATAATTAATCTAATTGGGAAACAATAAATCCACTCCCCCTTTCCAAAGCTCCCAAATTACTAATAACTTCTTGAAATGACTCCTCCAGTCCTACACTCATCCCCACCCTCCCCCTCCACAATACACATTTTTCGCATATTTTTATTTTAATTAATATTTCCTACTCAATTATTAACTACAAAAATACATCAATACTCAATTATAACATCGTCTCATCTACTACATGTCGCTGGATGCTGTGAAGTAAATAAACACATATCTTTATCAGTAAAATGGCCGTAGATAAGTTTACCAAACAAAAATCCCATTACTCCCTTCCAATTATCGAGTAACTTAAAACTCAAGAACCATAAAATATTATTTCAACATAAAAGGCCTTGAGGGAGAATAATCCTTATTTATTACCCCTGGGAAATTAGAATTAATAATTAGTCCCATCATTCAATATATTAGTTTATATATTGAAATTTGGTAAATTTGAATTATCATTAAATCCCACCCACCATTCAACTAATCCCTTTAATCCAAATTTACAACCCCTTCCAAATTTACAAACCAAAATTCAAGAACCAAAAGAGACTCAAAAATTTTACTTCAATTAATCCAAATTCCCCATCCCGACACCTATATAAGATGCAAATCCCTCAAGTAATTTAAATAAAATATTTTCGAAATTATTGAAAGTGCTTAGTCAAAAACTCAATAATTTTCGAACAACTATTAATCACTTTCCTAATCACCTCTAATACCCAAAGATGAACACACAAGTAAGTTATTATTTTCAATATCAATAAATCACTTCAACACTAATATTAAAATTCAGTCTGAACTCGAATCCGTTCCCAAGAATTATGCCTCCTCAACCCAAAATGCCTCCTCAACAGAATATGCCTTTCTCAATCTCTTTTCAACGACAATATGACATTGCTTTCTCAACTCAATATGCTTCCCTGAACACACAACTACTTTCAAATTCAATCTGAACTCGAAATTGCTCTGACCACAAAATGATTTTGACCAAAGAATGAAAACGGATGAACAAAAACAAATTCAATCACATTTTCATTTTTCCAAATTTGTAATTTACAATTTTTCACTTTTCTCCCTCTAGTTTCCATTTCAAAATATTTAATTCTAGATTTTACTGTTCCTTCCCCTCATTCATCTATATTTTATTTTTTAGGTTCTGATTTTCCTTTCCCGCTTATATTTAAGTATTGAGTCTTTAAAAGCCATGGGGAAATAAATATTTTAGAATAGAACAAAATCCCCTTTCCATTAAGATCAAACGGACTAAGTAAGTACACAATTTGATCACCAAAACCCAACGTGAAACTTCCAAATAAACATACACCCAAAGGCCCAAGAAATGACGGAATAGACAACCATCATTTCTAAATCTAACAAATCCAAAATGGCGGCCTAAAAATCCACCATTTACCACACATCCCCATTGGCTCCACAAAAAATACTAGAATGGCCAAAACAAAATAAACCCCACTCCCAAAAATGTCGGACTTAAAACCCAACATTTGATCCAAACTTCACTGAAAATTAAGAAAATTTTAATGGCGGACTAAAAAACCACCATCAGACTCAATCTTCCTTTCCCCTCCAAAAAAAACCAACCAACAATCCATAAGCGCAGGGTCGCGCTTATTGGCGGCAGGGAGATGTTACCCCCGGACTCGAGACTCGATACTTGCCCTTTTCATCAAGTCCCGACCCCGACCATATTTCCCATCGATGTTTATATTTATTTTATATTTATTCCTTCCCAGCCTATCTTTACACTTTATCTCTCTTCTTCTCAATTATTGTTCACCTTCTTCCGTTCCCAACATTAATCACAATTACATTCATCCTTTTGTCAACAACTTTATAACTTCCTCCCATCTTTCCCAGACACATTTTGCCCTATCAACTTTCTTATATCCCACCCACTATTCCCCATATTTAACCACAAACTATTCAATGTATCTTTAATTCAGTTTATCCAAGTCCCGATTTAATGTCCATATAATTAATCCTCTTTTATTATATTATCCCTTATCAAAACACTACCCGTTTAATTGTATTTTAAATGGAAATAAATATTATGAACTATTCTTTTAACTATTTAAATTAGTCCTCTGCGCCTCCCCTA